CACATGTTCTACCTCTACTTTTGTTCCTTTCTCTCTGTGTCCCAATCACCATTCCAGTTCAGGTTTTCGTCACCTCTCCAGAACTACTCTAATACTACTACTAATTGTTCTCTCTGCTTCCGGGCTATCCTCTGTCCAATCCATCCTTTACACAGCTGCCAAAGTGATTTTCCTTAAGCACAGGTCTGACCATATCACTCTGGTGCTCAAAATACAACAACAGCTTCCCACTGCCTCTAGGATAAAATATAAACACCTCTGTTTGGCTTTTAAAACCCTTCATAACTTGTCCCTAACCTATATTTCCAACCTCATTATCCATTTTGCCCCTTCCCACACTCCACGAGCCAGCCAAACTGGTCTCTTTATTCCTTAACACACTATACTTCATCTCCCATTCCTCTCTGCAAAGAAGGCACTCTCTTCTGACCTCAGCTTCATAGAATCCCTCCCTTCCATCAAGACTCAAGTCAAATATAGTACCATCTTCTGCATAAAGTTTTTCCCAATCTGCCCAATCGCTAGTACTCTCCCTCCCTAAGTACCTTGTAACTCCTACACATTTTGTACTTATTTTATACACAATTACATATATATACATATATGTATGTGTGCATATATACATATACACATATGTATATGTAGTCTATGTTCCCGGTGGAATGTAAGCTCCTGGAGAGCAAAGACTGTTTTATTTTTTATCTTTGTCTTTGTGTAACCCAGGTACCAAAGTCGGCCCTGCCCCTCACAAGGGGCAGAGCATTGATCTCCACCAATGAGGAGAGAGTGCCTTACCAATGCACTTTGAGACTTGGGTTACATTTGTATTTCCAGCACCCAACATAGTTCATGCCACCTATTAAGCACTCAATAAATGTTTATTTGTTGAATGGATGATTAGTTGATCAATTTCTCACCTCTGTACATTTGCACTAGTCATCCCTCATGCCTGGCAGGCACTCTTTCCTTATCTCTGCTTTTCAGAATCTTCATTCTGAAGATCTTCATTCACTTCTGTGAAGGAAGATCTAGCACTAATGTGCTAGGTCTTTGATGAAACCTTTTTAAAATCCCCTCCCAAAAAAATAAGTGCTGTCTTTTCTTAAATTACTCTGTGTTTACCTATCTTTGTAAAAATTATATCATCTTATGATACTATTATAGAACCACCTCCTCCCCTCCCCCAGCCAATACATCTAGCATAAAACTGAGCACAGGCTAAGAGCTTAATACATTTGAATGGAATTGGATTGATATATTTCTACCATCTATCTCGTAGGGTAGTTGTGAGGAAAATGCTATACAAATATTAAAACATTGTATAAATGTGATGGACTTTTATTATTTGAATTAAACAGAACTAAATAGGATTGTGGAAGGGAAGAAAGTATGTTAGGATAATAATAAAAACAATTGGTATGCATATGTTTTGCCTCCTCACAACAGCCCTGTGCTATAGATTCTACAAGTATTATTATCACTATTATACCACACAAGAAATACTATTGTAGTAGAATAACTCCCACATGTAGCAAAGATTAGGAGAGGAACCCATGAGGTAACCCTCTCTCTCCCTCTTTGTCCTGGGCTTCTAACTCACACCAACAATAGTCTAGGGGAAATTTATGGTTTCAGATTACAGGTCTCTTTCTTTGCTTTTTATTTCTCCTTATCACTTTGAACTAGCTTAGAAAGCGCTCACCATCAGGTTTGGGAATTGGGGGGGGGAAGAGGGGGAGAGCCTCACACAAAGATTATTGGACACAAATACATTTTATACGATACTGGAATAAATGGTTGCAAAGATGTGGACAGAAATCACAGCGAGAAAGGGGAATAGCTGTGAGGATGTGCTGATTGGGTGCTGCTAGCTTCCATAGGAACCCAACCTTTCCTGTGTTAACTCCTTCTCATTGAGGAAAAAAACGAAGCAAAATTTCTAGAGCAGTGAGGAAATTAACGGCAGTTGTCATCCCATCTCAGACCATAAAAGGAGGAGGTATTTGTCATTAAGAACAACAGGCTTCATCTCACCCAACCTGGTCAGCTAGGTTGGGTGCTCTCTGCCACCAGGTGGCTACTGAACTAGGCTTCTTTCAGAATTTTTAAAATATTAATTAATTAATTAATTTTTAGTTTTCAACATTCATTTCCATAATTCTTTGAGTTCCAAATTTTCTCCCCCTCCCTCCTTTCTCCCCACCCCAATCTGACATAGGCTCTACATATACATTCATATTAAACATTTCCACATTAGCCATGTTGTAAAGAAGAATTAGAACCTATGGGAGGAACCACGAGAAAGAACCAAAAAAAAGAGAGAGAGAGTGAGAGTGAGAGCAAATAGTATACTTCAATCTGCATTCAGACTCCATAGTTCTTTTTCTGGATGTGGATAGCATTTTCCATCATGAGCCTTTGAAGGGAATAGGAGAGAAGCACAAATCTGATGCTAAGTGCTTGACTCTGCCAAAGGCCACATGCCCTCAAGATACAGGTGACCTGACCTTCTACTCCTGGGTTGTGGCTTTCTCCTTCTACCCTGAGTTGTCTGCAAACAAAGGTACCCACTAGTGTTGTTCCTTTGTGTCTTACTCTTTGTGACCCTGTGGATCATAGCACACTGATATTGTCCATGGGGTCTTCCTGGCAAAGATACTGGAGTGGTTTGCCATATCATTATCCAGTGGATTAAGGCAAACAGAGGTTAAGTGACATGTCCAGGTCTTAAGTGCCTGAGGTAAAATTTTAACTCAGGTCTTCCTGACTCCAGACACAGGGATCTATCCATTGAGCCATCTAGCTACTTCCCTATCCATTGAGCCATCTATCTCTATCCACTAATAAAAGACCTCAATGGCCTGTGGGCTCCTGGGAATACAACTCCATCTTCATGGTTATGTCAGTATCGGATTCAGGGTTATACCATTTTACAAAGCATAGGTTCATGGAAGGGTCATAAAATCATAGATTTATATCTATGGAAGGAACCTTAGAGTTCATCTACCAGAGGTGGGGAAACCTGCAGCCTCGAGGCCATATCTGGCCCTCTAGGTCCTCAAGTGCAGCCCCTTGGACTGAATCCAAACTTCACAGAACAAATCCTCTTAATAAAAGGATTTGTTCTGTAAAACTTGGACTCAGTCAAAAGGCCGCGCCCAAGGACCTAGCGGGCCACATGTGGCCTTGAGGCTGCAGGTTCCCCACTCCTGAAGTCCAACCCCCTCATTTTACTGAGAAACTTTTTTTCTTTTTACTACACTTTACTGGGAAACTGAGGCCCAGAGAAAGTTAAGTAGGTTGCCCAAGGCCACACAGGCAGTACATATCAAAGTCAGACTTCAAACCCAATCCAAAGTCATAGATTTTTTCATTGTACCACCACATTGTCCCACCTGGCGCAACCCTCTTATGTTATAGAGGAGGAAACTGAGGGCCAGAGTAGCTAAGCAAATTGCCCAGGATCACATGGCTAGTAAGCATCAGAAACCAAATTTATTTCCCTGACTCCAGATTTAGCATACTATCTGTATACTATCCCCTCCCTGTACCCTTTCTTACCCTACCTTCTCAGTGATGGACCATCTCTCCTATTTTACTGAAAAAAAAAAACCAAAGTAAAGCAGAGGCCATCCATTGAGAGCTCTCTCTCTCTGTCTCTGTCTCTGTCTCTTTCTTTCTCTCTGTCTTTAATTCCACATCTTAAAACACCTCATTCGTTTCTGACGTAGAAAGCTTATAGTGGGCCAGGGGCCCAAAGAAAAGCAGGATATGATTACATCTGAAGGCTATCGGTCAAATTTCAATATTTGATACATAAAAGTTAGGGAGGAGGGGGTAGTTAAGGTGTTAAGACAGTGTCCCCAAGAAATCCCCTTAACGTGATGGAATTCATAGACTAAATATCTATAGACCATAATAAGGGAAAAACAAGCATGAATATTAAAATTTGTCAAACACTTGTATTTTATTTCTTTAAACTAGTTACAAAAAATGTCCTTTTACTTATGAGAATGGACTGCCCAATCCCTAAGACAGGCCTAGTGGTTCTGAGCATGCTAATTATTAAACGTATAAATTTCAGATTCAGATTTAACAAACATTAATCACTAATCATGTATTCAGCAGCTATGTGTAGGACATAGAGAACTGGCCTTGCAACCAGAAAGACTTGTATATGCCTCTGGCTGCGTGACCTGGTTCAGGTCATTTAATCTCCTGGTGTAGTAGACATTTCTCTATCACTAAAAACTGAAAAGAAAGTGCTGACCTGAATCAGTATGGGGAGTTTCCTTATGGAAGAACTTCCTATATCAGTGAAATCTCGGGTCCTGCTCCTATGCCTATGCCTTGATGCACTCTAGGGCTTGGGGAGTGGGAATTGGAGTTTGTCTATCCTTTGATATGCAAGGTTTTGGAGAGTGGGGTGGAGCATGGAGATATTTTAAGGAGGGTGACCATGACCCCTCTAGGTAGGACAAGTGGAATCGGAGGGACAGCCCATAACATCACCTGACTTCTCTGGACCCACCCTGGCTCAGGCTCCGCAGAGAGAACTTTCCCTGGACACCCTGTGCTGGCATCAGGGTCCCCTGAAGCAGAGCCGCAGGAATGATCCCAGCGGCAGCACCCACTCCCTGCGGCTACAGCAGCTGCTGCACAGCCAGGGGCTCCCTCCCCTCCCCTCCCCTTCCCGGGGGGTGGGGGGGCAAAGGCGGGAGACGCTCAGAATCAGAATGGAAAAGGAACCATCTGTTTGGAAGGAGAGGCTCGGGCTGGGCTCCTGTGGTCACCCCTACGTCATTCGATGCAGGGGGACAGGTTGTTTTAGGTAGGAAGGGGACTTGGGTTAGGTGTCTTCCGGTCTCCGCCCTCTGCTCATGAATATGCAGTTTGTCCCTGCAAAGGCTCCTATTTCTGCCTTTCACACAAAAGGAAGCGAATCTCTTATTTTCTCTCCTCCTCCCTCCTTGTTTCTCCACCCACACCCTGTGTCTGCCTGCTCGCTAGTTACTGTACATTGCAGTGCTTCTGTGTGTGCGCGCGCGTGAGAGAGAGAGAGAGAGAGAGAGAGAGAGAGAGAGAGAGAGAGAGAGAACGAGAGAACGAGAGAGCACTATGCATTGACTGCTAGCAGAATTGTTTTCAGGTGGTTTTTTTCTGTTGGACCCTCCCAAATCTCTCCTGCTTCCACCGGCAGGGAAAAGCAAGAAATATTTCAGTCATGATTTATGAATGAACGTGACTCCCTCTGCCAAGGATTATTGTCTCTGGTTTCGGAGAGGGAGAGGTAGGAGACCGACAAAGGGGAGTGAGGACCAGGACGGGAAGAAAGGCTGGAGTCGACTTCTGTGTCTTGGAAAAGACTCTGCAATCAAGACTGATTGAGGAGACAGCTTCCACCCAGTCCCCTATACCTGGAGTCATTCTGCATGGTCATCACAAAGGTAATAAGCCTTCTGGAAAGACTTGGGGATGGAAATGAGGATAGGGATGGGGATGGAGAGCACGGTACACTTAGCATCCCAATGCGGTGAGAGGATGAGGGAACTCTCTATCAACCCTGAGGTTCTTTCCTGGCAGAGATGTTTTCTTCTAACTCTGGATCTGGGAAGTGAGGAAGAAACAATGGAGTCAAAGTTGCTGGATGCTTAGATACGCTGTTGGGCTTTGGTCATTTTCCTCAAACTTTGACTCCGCTGGGAGGCAGCTGCTTTGGGGAGGGCTACATTGTCCTAAAAGAACTTAGGTCCTTCTAAGACAACAGCACCAGCATGGCTCTTTCAATTGCTCCTCCAGGAAAGGATTTGTGTCCCCTTTGCTGTAATCTAATTCATATCCAAGATAAAGCTGTCTTTTATAATGCATATATTCCATTGGTTGGTTTTCCTGACCCAGAGGAGCAGTCATTCCAGTGTGGTTTGTGGTGGTTTTTCTGATACTATGTGGTTAAATTAAATCACAGGTAGCCCTGAATCTGCGGCAGGTTGCTCAGTTGCATAAACTCTAGAAAGACGCTTGCTCCCCAATCCTAAGGTAATGAAGACAATCCAAGATTCCACTGATTCTCATGGAAACTCTGGGCCTGGTCTGTGACAGCTGCTTTGAGCTGGGGAGAGGGAGGGATGTTGTTTTGGAAAGGTGACCCCCTAGACCTGCAGCCCTGGAAGTTGGCTAAGGATAAGAGCGGTGCAGTGGTAAACTGGGGAGGCCCAAGATTATAATTGTAGAGGTTTTATTGGAGCAGCACATACCTTCTGCTGTGTCACTGTGGCCTGCATTATCAAGGGGAGAGGCCAGGAGGGGGAGTGTGGAGGGAAGCTTAGGTGCCTTGTGTAAACTTGGGATGGCTTTTGAATCTCCTTCAGCCAAACACCTTGCCTTTAATCTGGGTGCTCGTGAGCCAGTGGCAGACAAAGTATACTAGAAGGTCCCCTTTCCCCTTTGCGAAATGAAAGAACATTTCTTATCGCTGCCCCCTCAAACATATCCTGGAATTGTGTAAGTTCCCATCATATTTAAGTTCTGACTACAGTTATAGGTAGCTTGACAGATGTATGTGTGTGTGTGTGTCTTTGTGTGTATTGGACTCTAGAATTATGGCTTCTCAATTTTCTTGAAATCCATTAACTCACTTGAATGGCTATCATCATTACTCTTGTTATTTATTAATAATTTACACTTAGGTGGTACTTTGTACTTTATGACCACCTTCTCCTTCAGTCCCACCTCCCTTCTATTAGCCCTTTCCCTTTTCTTCCCCTTTACCCTTCCTGCTTCTTCCCTCCCTTCTATCCCCCTTCCCTTTTCTTTCCCCTTTTCCCTCCTGCTGCCTATAGAGCAAGTTAGATTTCTATACCTGATTATGTTATTCCCTTCTTGAGCCAAATCTGATGAGAGTAAGGTTCAAACAGTGCTCATTCTCCTTCCTTCTTTCCCTCTGCTCTAATAGGTTTTTATGTCTTTTCCTATAATGTAATTTACCCTTGTCTGCCTCCTCCTTTCTCAGTACATTTTCTTAGATCAGACTAATCCACTTACTTGGATCCATTTAACCCACTTGATTAGATTTTTTATTTTATCATTACATCAAAGTCAACTTACATCCACCCCCTTTATGTATACTCCTTTAACATGGTATAATAACAATACAGTTCTCAAGAGTTGGCAAGTGTCATCTTCCCTTGTAGGGATGTAAACAGTTTGCCCTTATTAACAACATATTGTATCTTTCTGTCCCATTTACCTTTTTATGTCTCTCTTGAATCTTGTACTTGAAGATCAAATTTTTTGTTGAGCTCTGGTCTTTTTATCAGGAAGGTTTGGAAGTCCCCTATTTCATTGAATATCCATCTTCTCCCCTGAAAAATCATGCTCATTTTCACTGGGTAGTTGATCCTTGGCTGAAGTCCAAGCTCCTTTGCCTTATGAAATATCATGTTCCACGCCCCACAGACTATTAATGTAGAAGCTGCAAGGTCCTGTGTAATCCTGACTGTGGTTCCGTGATATTTAAATTGTTGCAGTATTTTCTCTTTCATCTGGTAATTTTGGAATTTGGCTATAATATTCCTTGGCATTTTCAATTTGGGATCTCTTTCAGGTGGGGAGCAGTGGAGTCTTTCTATGGTTATTTTACCTTCTGGTTCTAGGACTTCAGGGTAGTTTTCCTGTCCAGGCTCTTTTTTTCATCATGATTTTCAGGTAGGCCAATAATTTTTAAATTCTCTCTCCTGGATCGATTTTCCAGGTCAGTTGTTTTACCCATGAGGTATTTTACCTTTTTATCTATTTTTTCATTTTTTTGTTTCTGTTTGACTGGTTCTTGCTCTCTCATTAGTTTCCATTTGTCCAATTCTAGTTTTTAACATATTATTTTCTTCTGTTAGATTTTGTACTTTCTTCTCCAATTGGCCAACTGTATTTTTAAGGGATTTGTTTTCTTCAGTATACTTTTTTTTTCCAGTTGGCCAATTGTGTTTTTTAGGGACTTGTTTTCTTCAGTGTACTTTTTTTCCAATTGACCAATTGTATTTTTTAAGGACTCCTCTACCACTCTCATCTGACTTTTAAAATCCTTCTTGAGCTCTTCTAAGAAGGCTTTTTGGGCTTCAGACCAGTTCATATTCCCTTTTGATGTTGCAGATGTGGGTTTGTTAACAATGTTGTCCTCTTCAGAATTTCTGTCTTGATCTTCACTCTTCTCATTATATGAATCTGTCATTCGTTTCTTTTTACTCATGGTGTTTCTTTATTCCCTGGCCTTTAAAGAGATTAAGCTCTCCTGCTGGGGAGCAGAGGGCACTGACCCAAGCTTCTTGTGTTGGGAGCCTAGGTCTTGGTCACTGACTTTGTGTGCTGGGGCCTCTTATGTTGGCAATTGGAGGCTGTAGGGTTTTGGCAGCTTACCTGGTGTTGGGCTGGAATCAGCAAGGCTGCGACTTTCAGGTAAATCTAGGTTGCCTGCTTTTCCTTTCCTTTAGCTTTCTTCAGCTCCTTTTAGATGGGTGCTGCAGGGTGTTTATCTGTCTGGGGCCCCTTGCAGTACTGATCTCTTAGTTCTGCTGAGGCACTGGGAGACTCCTTTGCTGTAGAATGCCGAGGCACCTGGTGGTTTTCTGAGCTGGTTTCCACCGATTTCCCCGCCCTCACTGAGGCACTCGGAGGTCCAGCTGTTGGTGTTTGCCTGCTGGACCACCTGGGCTTCAGGATCTCCTCTTGGTTGGCATTTGGAGGCTGTAGGGTTCTGACAGCTTACCTGGTGTTGGGTTGGAATCAGCAAGGCTGGAACTTTCGGGGAACTCTAGGTTGCTTTCTTCAGCTCCTTTCAGATGAATGCTACAGGGTGCTTATCCACCTGGGGCTCTTTGTAGTGCTGCTTCCTGTATAATTTTGCTGAGGCACTGGGAGACCCGTTTGCTGTAGAATGCTAAAATGGGTCTTTCCACTAGCTGTCTGGGATGCCTCCGGTTCTGCGCTGCTCCTCTTCCCCCAGGGTAAGAAGGGCCTTTCCTGTTAAACCCTCAAGCTACCTGGGCTACTGCACTGCTGCTCCCTGTCTTTCTTCTAGTTCAGCTGTTCCAGGGTTTTTTCTGGGGCGATATTTTCTGGGCTTTCAGAGGTTGATAGGGGAGGGTGAGAGCGACTACCTTTTTACTCCACCATCTTGGCTCCCGGAAGCAGAAGTATCGGTACTTTGTACTTTATAAAAAACTTTCATACATTATCTCATTTGGTATGATAGCTTTTGCCATCAGTCCCAAAAGCAAGGTTTGGACACTCATTTTGAGCTGGGTGGGAGAAAGTCAAGCGAACAGACCTCCGTTTTCATGCCTACCTTGATCACCTCCTATCAGCAAAATCCTGTTCCAAGTAAGAATCCTTACTGGGAATGAAATGCTTCAATTCTTTTACCTCACAGATCATACATGGCTGAGTCAGGACACAAACTCACATTTCTATGTTCAATGGTTTTTTTTTCTACAGGGCTCTCTATGATATAACACAGGTATACTGAAATTCCATTTTCCTTCCTTCGTGCCCCATCACAGAATAAGGATGACAGCCTAGTTAGTTTCTAGAGAAACTCATATTGCTTCTAACACAATTATGCCAGCAATTGGTAAATGCGGCCTCTTCTGAGGGCAGCTCTGTGATAACTCATAAAGCATATGGGGACGCATTGACCCATGTTCTGCTGAGTTTGGTGAGACTATCCCTTGGCACAAGAAGAATACATAGCTTCCTTTGCCAGGAGTGGCCCAGTTCTGTTTGAACACAGACACAGACTAGAAACGTTCACCAGGAACTAACTTGTTTTCTTCTCTCACATGAGTAGAGATGGGGGGAGGGGAAGGAGAAAGAACACAATCTACTCACCCAACAGGAAGCATCTTCTCCATGCCCCCCACGACTCTGAGGGAGAGGCCAAAGTGTTTTTAGGGAACACATGTGGGGCAGGACTCTGTACCACAGCTGTTCCCTGCTTTGGTAGATTGTGTATGCTTTTTGCTTACAGAAGCAGAGTGCCCCATTTCACCAGCTTTTCCATGTGTCTTGGCCCTAGAACCTATATTCAGTTTTTGCCTCTAAAAATGACTAAACAGGGAACTTAGAATAGGTGTAGGCAAGGTAGGGGCCTCAGGAATGAAATGGGGTCACAGTGAGGTGTACCTTCGACAGTCAATAAAAAAAAAACACACCAATTTTATTGATATAGTTTGTTTTTATGTTACCTAAAATTTCCCCTGTATACTTCCCCTTCCCCTCACCAAAATCCATCCCTTATAGCAAAAATTTAGTTTTAAAAAGAACAAAAAAGGAGAAAAATTCAGCAAAACTAATCAATACATTGTAAAAAATTTCCAACATTATATGTAATATTCCACACCCAGAGATCCCTTTCCCCCACCTCAGCAAAGGAGTTGGGAGAGGCACCTTCTTATTT